GAGCATTTAGAAGACCACTGAATCTCAAAGAAGATTAGGCTCTTAGGTGAATAAACAAGAATGCAAATAATATGGATGTAGCATTTCTCACTCTAACATGTCAGACTGGCTTTCACATATATTCCTAAAAAGCCAGGGATCTGGGACTTCTACAACAAGAAACATAACCTGGCTGAATCTTGGGAAAAGGACTTGCCTGAGAATATGAAGTGAAAACTAATCTTACTGCTAATGACGAGAAGCAGCATGACTGATGCACACTAGGGTCATAAAATGCAATTCGGTTTCAGAAACCAATTTGGTAAGGGAAAAAGAATCATAGTGCTAAATGTGCAACGGGGATCACTTCCACAGCACTTCTATGCACACACACTCACGGATTTCCTGGTGTGTCCTCAGGACCAAAAACTCTGTTGCATGCTAACATCAACATATCCTTGCATGTTCTTGGAATTTACTACTGTCTCCTACCGTGTTTTGTTCCTCAAGAGCTTGATCCTGTCCCTTGATCTGGAAGAGTTATCTCTGTCGAGGGTCAGTAATGTCAGCAGACCCATCAAGTCACATCAAGTGACTATTTGTATCTGCCCAAACACTGGAAAACAAAAATAAAACTAGTAATACAAATGAAGCAAAGAAGCGAGCACTAAATAAGTGAGTTAGTTAAGTTGTGCTGGGGGAAGATAAAGCGAAGGAAAAGATAACAGCGGAGAAACAGCAGAATGAGTTAATGATAGCTGGGCACTGGGAACTAATGAGTGCCTTTGCAAATATAAAGAGGAAAGAAAAAAAACCTACAATGAACAAAGTCTCCTTAATAAAAGGGAGGTGAAGTCAATGATTATTGCAAACGTCTGAGGTACTGCTCTACACTGCTGAAACTAGAAAACCAGTACACAAAAGAAGAAATGAAAACCTTGGCTTTCGGCTGGATGTAGGTTCCCAAGTGCCTAACTCCGTTGGGAAAAAGGCTCCAACATCCTTTAGGGACATATGAAAAAACCTAGCCTAGCTGTTGAGTAAGTGCAGGTAGGAAGACATTGGGACTCCCACGACTGTAAAAGAGGCCCAAGTGACAGAGAATCTGTGGAAGCTGGTATGCAGATGCACCGCTGTGGTCAGAAAATTAAAAGTCCTAATGAAAGGTTGGTTTGTCTCCTTTTCTTCAGGGCTTGCTCTGTTTTCAGGGACACACTCTAGACCAGGAAATACAAGCACCCAAAGCCAGATTTTCAGGCCACTATGAGAAAGATCATACTTCTGTCTATGGGTTTTCTCATCCAACACGCCACCCGCTTCCCTTTCCTGGGAGAGCCCTCAGCGAGGCAGGAACGTGGCCTCACTTCACAGCCCAGAGGACGGCTGGCTACCTTTTGCCTGAATTAGTGTTGCCGACAACTATCCAAGCAAAAAGTTAGGGGATTTCTGGCTAGGGCGTCGATGAAAGGGTGGCTCTGTGGGACTGTAAATCCTGCTTTTAACTAAAGGGTCCTCCCTGGAGATAAGCTAAGCAGTAGCCTCTAGGTGAGAGGGAAGGAAACTAACTGGGAGCCTGTTCAAGGTTTAATAGGAGCTAATGGACTTCCTTTCCGCTCTGTGCAATCTCCACGTGGCGTGGATCTAAAGGGGAGCTGACAGCTGGAGCAGCTTTGTCCTCACATTTCCAGAGCAATTGTCCTGCAACCACAGACCATCCTGCTCACCAGGAGGTTTGGTAGCATTTTTCTTCTCCTGCACAGAGCAGCAGCCAGGACCACATAGACTGAGGTCTCAAGAGGCGGAACTAATGAGAGGAACCGTGAGAAATCAGGTCAGAGAAACAAGGGCAGAACCAAGCAGAGAGGCTAACACATTATGAGGAGTTTGGCCCTCCTTGTTCAAAGGGTTCAAAGACGCCCTCCTGTCACTGTGGCTAGCATCTCGCTAGCACGGTTAAGGCATATCTGCTTCTGTCGGCAAGGGCAGACCACAGGGCGGTGTGGCACGTGTTTTGTCCAGCCACATTTTCTTCCCCAGCTTTCTTACAGCAGCTTCAATGGGATGGACTTCTGGCTGGAAAGGTGCTGCGCTCACACCTGTGGCCTTCTCCACACATTCACCATTTCTCTCCCTACCTTTTCTAGTTACCATCCACTGCGCTCCTATTTAGTGGAGTAGTGGAAAAAAAGAACAGAAGGAGCTGGAAGAGAACAGCTCTAAACCAGGCTGTGATCTTGGACAGATACTTGCAACCATTCATGCTGGTTGAGAGGTCTGCCAAGATGGATGAAGGCCTGTATTTGTCAGAGCCATTAATCAAAGTGGGAGGAACAGCAGATATCAGTGACCCCAGAAAGAACAGATGTTGAAACTCCGGGCAGAAAAATGAGACTCGGGATACATAGCTTCACCACAATCTCCGTGGAGAAAAACAGATTGCAGTTGCGCTGCAAGAGGGAACACTGGGGAGTAACAGGACCAGATCTGATTCAGAGTGATGGCAGGTGACAAATTTTGTACTAGCTTTTGAGGCAAACCAAACCGTGATGGGGTTTTGGCTGCATTCACAAAGGATCAGGCGGATACTTGTCCCTAAATGCAGGCATCTGTGGGCTGAGGAGAGGACGACCAATTGGATGGGAATCAGGGAAGGCCAACGACAATGATAAAGTGGCTGCGGGGACTGATGAATGAAAGTAGATAAAAAGCATGAATGGCAATGGCTAGGAAAAGAAGCGATACCTGGGTGCAAGGCACAAAGAGGCAGAGAGGAGCAAATTTTTGTTTAGGGGATTACAATACATGGTTATAACCAGGACTAATGGGGTGAAACTGGACAAATGACTATATAGGCCAAATATCTTCCTGACCATGGGACTTGCTGGACTGTGAAACAGTCTCCAAAAGAAAGAGGTAGAAGCCCCATTACCTGAGGCATTTAAAATGAAAGTGGACAGAGTGATCAAGCATGTGCTGTAAATCCTCCACCAGCAGGGGAGTGGAGTAGATGACCTAACAGGTCTTTTCCACCTCTAATTTCTACATTAAATAAAAGGAATCACAAAAACCCCCAACTTGCCATGAGATACAGAATAATGACTCAGCACTTGGGGAAAGCCAGCGGTAATCGTGCAGGTAGAAAGGAAAAATGTCACAGTGATGAAGCAGAGAGTATAATAGGGGAGAGAGCGGCATTGTAAAAGCAATAGAGACGCAACGACTCTACTCCAGCAGTTCAGCCATGCTGAGGGAAGACAGGTAAATATGAATCCTTTATTCCTGAGTTGGCCCTATATTAAAAAGGGTCATTGGTTGCTAGGCTGAGCGGGAACGGTACCTTCCCTCCCTCTTTCTCGTCTAGTTTCAGGGACTGGCCAAAATGAAGCTGTAAGAGGCCGCAGGGAGTTGGTCCTGGTTTGCAAAATGGCCTGCGGTAGCCCACCGAGGAGATCCCCGCAGTCTCGCCCTCTCGGCCACGCAGGTGGAGCAGCACCACGTTTGATGCGAGCACGCGGCGCGGTTAAGCAGACGCCACGTAACGTGAGCTAAGGCTCGCTTCAAAACACCGTGGTAGGATTCCCCCTCGTTCGCTATTTTCGGTAGCACTGAATCACTTAACGGGAGCCTCTTCCATCCCAATCCTTACGGCAGACTCCAGAGGAGGTTCTGCCTTGCGGGGACACGGCTACCGGCGGGGCTGCGCTCGGGACTTGCAATAAAGCGGCTCCATCCAAAAACCAGCCGGGATACCAAAACCTGTCTTTAAAACCACGGAGGGAGATTTAGACAAAGAAGCGGCCGAGTTATTTTTCGCCTCCCCGCCCCGTCCTGAGGGCTAGGGCTGTACTCGGCTGAGGAGCTGGAGGGAGAAGGAAAAAACCAGCGCAAAGCCATTGCAGCTGGAAATAACGCAGGTTATAGTATGTATCCCATACGTCGCGGGTGACACAACGCCCTCCTCAACCTCTGTGCCGCCCACTCCCCGGGATAAACACGGGCGGCCGTCCGCCGGTGGGGCCGGGGG